GCTCTTCCAGCTTCTCTATTCTTTACTCACTACATGGATCTTCAGGTCAATGGAGAGGCGAATGTGGTAGGGTACGTCGTACTCCCGCATATCCACAATGTTGTCCATCTGGTTGGCAACCTTTCTGGAGGCCCCTTCCTCATCTGTGCTCAGGCTGCCTCCGCTCAGAGCGCTGCAAGGAGCAGAGTGAAGCAGCCGCCTTACCCGAGTGCACATCTGCGCAGGCTCGGCTGCGAGGGACAGCCACACGGCACTGGTCACACCCGGCAGCAGGACTCAGTGACAGGAGAGGAGAGAACGGGAAATGCTTCCCCGCCACGCAACCCCCCTCCGCTTGCAGAGGCGTCCCTGGGACGAACAGCACGTGCAGTCCCGTCACTGCCGTCTAAATTTGCCTTTTCTCACGTTTGTGAACTGTGTCTGCTCAGAGGTACAGGCAGACAAAACCCACACATGCCTGTATAATGAACAGTTCTTACGGCACTGGATTTATAAGTAGCGTAACGAGTCTAAGCATAATGAGGCAACCTGGGAAGCACTTTGAACTGGGATGGTACACCTTCCAGGTGAGCAGGGACCACTCGTCTTACTTGATTCTTCTTCCTCAAGTTTCAACTGAAATCAGACTTCAGGGCCAGGAAACCAAAGAGAGGGATGAATTTTTCATGTGTATATTCTGGTTGACTTTAAAAAACAAAGTTTCTTATTTTTTTCCTGCCTGCAACGGTGTTTCCAATCTTCTAAACAAGTGCCTGGCTTTTTATTCAGATAGAAAACATCTGTTGGGTTTTTTTCCCCTTTAGTCACAACTAGAAGAAAGGTTGCCCAGTGTCTCTCAGTATCCTTTCTCAGGAGACAGGGAATCTATTTGACTGGCAGGCAGAGGTAACACCACAGCACATCACATCCCAGAGGCTCTGGGGTCTCTTGATGCGCAGCACTGAGCTGGAAGAACCACCTCAGAGACGGGTGGCAGAGAGGTATAACTGGGGTCAGACCCCAGGCAGGACAACACTTCTCTGAGGACATCTAAGAAATAATCAAGGGATCCTAATTATTAACACAAGGGACAGACCAGCCACCCTAAGGAGAGCTCCCACCTCGACAGCATGGCCGTGTAGACATCGCTCGCCTGGTCTCGCTCTCTGTTTTTCCTCACAGCAGGAGAGATCTCCTTCCGCACCTTCACCAAGTCATCCACCGTGTTGAAGGACAGCTTGATGTAGTTCCTCTTCAGGCCCACCAGGTGGTTTGGCTGCAAAGACAATGCCAGCTCAGACGGATGAGTACTGAGGGACAGCCACCATAAGAGAGGGTGGGGAAGGCAGACTAGACTGATACAGGTGGAAGAACTGGCCAAAAAAGAGGTGCCAAGAGGTGGGAGAGTCAAGCACCGAGACGAGACTCTGGTGGGCACGTCAGGGAAGAGTGCAAGAGCTGCACAGCAAGGGCCCAGCCATCCCTGCTGCCTGTCCAGGCAGGACCACAAGCGGGATTCAGCCGGGGAAGAGGAAGAAGAACAGGTCAAGCATGAGCAGCATCCCCCTCCCACAGTACTCTCTCCTCCTCCAATCATTCTTTAATTCCTGCAATTAAATGTCTTGAACACAGTGTGAAATAGCCGATGGGCTCAAGGACAGGAACATAATTACTGCCGATAAGCAATTAGCCATAACTAACCCGCTCCTGATAGGCACCACAAGCAGCACTAGCAGACTGAAGTCAAGCGCGCTGTTTCGCTTCACTGCTCAGTCCCTTCCTACTTTGCTAGAGCTGTGCAAGGTCCAAAAAACCCCCACTACTCAAGAGCACAGAGGGCAGAGGAATACAGACCAGGTCCAAGTCTTCTTTGGGGACAGTTTCCAGCTTTGCAATCTTCCCTTGGAACTTCTTGGAGAGGAAGGAGGACACTTCTCGCTCGCAGCCCTGCCGAGAGACCCTGGGGCTGAGCAGCATGGCTCTGTCCCTTGGGAGACCATCCCAAAGCAGGATGTCCAGGAGGTCTTGAGCTCCCTAGGGACCTGCCATCCCCTTCCCTGGGGACCTCAGCCCTCCCAGGGTCCCCTCCTCACCTTCTCGGTGGCGATGTAGAAGTAAGGCTTATAAGGTAGGGCCACCTAGGAGAGAGCAGATGAGTGACGGCAGCGGGTCCCCTCACGGGACCCTGCGCCCTGCTCGGCCCCCCCAGGGACCCACCTTGAAGCGGCTCCCGTCGTCCTGGATGAAGTAGTAGTCCACAGCGCTCACGGACCGCCGGTCCTCATCCAGCACCTCCGTCTGCCCACGGACACCATGGACTCAGCAAGGTCCCTCCGTGAGACCTCCCCGGCCTACCGGGGCCCCTCCATGGGATGCCCCGCCCGG